GAGACAAAGAGTCCCCTTGGGAAGCCAGGCCCTGAGCTCCGGGAAGGTGATAACGGTCACTTCGATTTTTGTCCCTGGGAACGAGGGCAGCTTCTGCAAACAAGAACTTGGCACAACTTGGGCATTGCCCGGCCTGCGACCCCGTTGCTTCAGCGCAGCTTCGATGGGGTCTGCAACGGGAGCGTTGCAAAAAAAAAAGAAAAAGCTGCCCCAGGCCTCTTGGGGGTCTCTGCGCCAGAGACAGGAGGAAACCCAAGAGAAGATGGGGAGGTGGGTTTTTTTTTAAAAAAAAGAGTGGGAGGAGAGAAAGAGAACCCCTAAGCATGAACAGAAGACCCCCTCCTCCTCCTCCTCCTCCTCCTCCTCCTAGCCATTGGCCCTATTTCTCCTCCCGCTGTCCTAATAGACGGATTTGTCTGATCTGCCGAAAAGGATAACTGCGCAAGCAGGGCCGGAATCGTTGCGCCTTTCCCACGTTCCTCCGGCGGGCTTTTCACATCCGTGCGCGCGGCCTCTGGTCCGGCCAGCCATAAATCAACCCCCAATTCTAGGCTCGTCTGACTGTTTTCCTTTCATTCGCCGCCGGGGTCAGGAGGAGGAGTAGCACAGACGGAAGGGGAGAGGAAAAGGCGGCGGGGGTGGGGTGCGGTGGGGTGGAGTGGGGGAGTCGCTTGTCCCTCTCCCTCCCCCCCCCCACCCCGAACAAGCTGTGCCGAGCAGCAGAGAAAAACCCTCGCTTCAAACAAATATTCCAGGAAAAAGAAATTAAAGACTTCTTAATTAGTGCGGCAATTAAGCCTTCTTGGTCGCGTTTTAATCAGCAGAGGCCCCATCAAAGGACAAACAGAGCGATTTGCAGGTCTTTGAATTTTAAACAGGCGGCCGGATTTGAGCGGCGTCACTCCTTGCGTGACAAACCGGGCGAAGGCGCAAATCATTCCGGCTACCCAGGAATCGGGGAGTCGGGAGAGGGGTGGGGGGAACACGCTGGGGAGGAGAAGAGGCCGCTGGGGGCGTCTTCACGAAAGGGAAATCGTCGAAACCGATTCGCGGTTTTCCTTTCGTGTCTCCTTCTCGCGCGGGATCCTAAAGTCGGCGCTGGCGGTTCGAAACGCGGGGGGGGGGGTTACACTCGCTCCCCCTTCGCCGCTTTGCTCGTCCGGTCGGGATCTGAGCAAGCAGGAAAAGCCAAGAAGGAATTTTGTTTCTTTGCAGCTTCAGGATTGTGGCGCGCGTTTTCTCCCTAAGAAAGAACCGGGGCGCGCGCGAACCCCTAAACTACACTAACTTCAACCAAGATTAAACCCAAACAAAACCAAAATTGCAGTTTGATGCTTCTTTGCTCACATGCCGCGGGCCCAGTGCGCGCTTTCTCGAGATAGACTTCCAAACCAAGCGGTGAGATGATCCGCGCAGACGTGTATAATATATATTTTGGATAATGTATATTTTGGAGATCTGCCAGGCAGAGGGTGAGCAAAAATAGTTTGGCGGGACCTTCCCCTCTTATTCTGTAAACCAGAAATGCGCAAATATGGTGCAGGCTTCAAATTTTATCCCCTCCCTCCGCCGGTTTCCCGTGCTCCCCTCCAGGGTCTTTGAGATCCGCGGAGTCAGCTTTAAAAGGTGACTCGATGAAACGCGCGGTTGGAAAAAAACGGGCCTTATGAAGGACAAGCGATTGGGCTGGTGTTCACGCTACTGAAAAGCCGAAAAATTGTTATACATTTTTTGCTTTTCTTTTATTTTTAAAGGAGGGATTATTTTTATTAGCTTGCTAAAACAGAGGCGGTTCCTCACCGTTGAAGATGGGAATGGAAATTAAAGTAACTCCTCTGGTTTTAAGGATGAAAAAAAGGGAGTTTAAAATGTTCACCTGAATCTTGCAAAATAGTCATTGCAATTTTTTTTTTCCTGTGAAGGCAACGTTCCTGCAGAAAAGACTCACTGAACACGGGAGTTCTAACCCTTAAAAGTCTCCTTCCTGTTTTCCTGACTCCTGGTTGACACAGGTTGTGATTGTTCCTGGAAGAGGTTTGACCGAGCTTCCTTTCCCTAGATACTTCTTCCCATCACTCCTGGTGGTCTCCCATCCATCAGGCCTGCTATGGCTCAGCTATTTTCCAGATAACCTGAAACTGTTGGGTCGGTGCAGAAGGACAAGAAGACACAAAGGCAATCCAGATTGAATGAAATCTCTCCACAAAAAAAATTAGAGTTGGGGGAATTCTGGGTATCATTATTGATGGACCCCTTGCCTATCCCCCCTCCCCCAAGCTTACAAGGCCACCAACAAAACGCTTTAAGAGGCAGCTTCGCCTTTCTCAGGCTGGCACTCAATTCCCTCTCCCTCTTCTGTGTCATCGTTTAGCGATCTGCTTTTCGGGGGGGGGGCGGGGGGAATAAAAAAATAAATAAAACTCTGGACGAAAATAAAACTCCGGACGAAAAACAGTCGAGTTGTTTCTTAATATCTTTCCTCCTCCCGAACCAATTTGTCTCCAAGGGTGCACCACACTGATGGAGACATTAATTATTTCAGAGAGAGGGAGAGGGATTTTTTTTTTTTTTAAAACCTCTTTACTTCCTACGGTGGCTTTTTCCTGCACATCGTTCTGACTGCAACTCGGATGGCGAGTTGGCCGGAGCATTCCGGCGCATGTGCAGCTCACCGTTGGGGTGAGGAGGGGGGGGGGTAGAAGAGATGGCCTCCTGGCTTCCACGCGGGGAGGCTCGGTGGCTGGACCGTGGGCGAGCGTAAAGGAGAGAGATTCCGAGCGCGAAAGGGCCGCCCGCTGATCAAAGCGCAAGAAACTGGTCCTTTCCTTGGCTTTCCGATTGTGGTTGTTACATCTCACAGCGAGGGGATAACTCAGATACCCAACACGGGGAGAAAGCCAAAAAGTCTTTTTCTGCTCACCAACTTTCCAGAAAGCGTTTGAGTTCCTACCCCGAGGCTTGCCAAAAGTCCAGTTCTTTCCCTAACTGCCACCTTTCTCCAACGAGATCCAGACCTGTTTCAAACCCTGCTTTTAGGATCTTTAACGCGAGCCTCCAAGAGAGAAAAGGCGGACGGGGTTTGCGCTCAGGGAGAAAGGAAACGAGCCGCTCTCGTTCACGCTGCACACTCGATTCCCACCCCCCACCCACCCCTCACAGCGCGCAACGGTTAGGAAAGAGTTTAGCACAAGCATCCCTTCCAAAAAAAATGTTACCTAAATCTGGGGGGGGGGAAGATTCGGAGCTCGCGAAGCTGAAACCGGGAAGGAAGGAAGGAAGGAAGGAAGGAAAGGAAGGAAGGAAGGAAGGAAGGAAGGAAGGAAGAAAGAAAGAAAGAAAGAAAGAAAGAAAGAAAGAAAGAAAGAAAGAAAGAAAGAAAGAAAGAAAAAGAAGGAAGGAAGGAATGAAGGAAAGGATGGAAGGAGGAAAGAAAGATAAAGGAAGGAAGGAAAGGATGGAAGGAGGAAAGAAAGATAAAGGAAGGAAGGAAGGAAAGAAAAAGAAAGAAAGAAAAAGGAAGAAGGAAGGAAGGAAAGAAGGAAAGGAAAGAAGAAGGAAGGAAGGAAGGAAGGAAGGAAAGAAGGAAAGAAAGAAAGAAAGAAAGAAAGAAAGAAAGAAAGAAAGAAAGAAAGAAACAAACTTCCCAAAGAAATCGCACGAGGAGAATCCCATTCCTGGGGGGACAAAAAAAAAACAACAACAACAAAAAAAACAAACAAACCACACACACACAAACTAAACACAAACTTTTCCCGGAGCGCAGAAAACAAGGATGGCGCTCCTCCGCTTTGAGTGGCATCGCTGCTCTCTCTCTCTCTCTCTCTCTCTCCCCTCCACTTCGTCTCCACGTGCAGCAAAGTTTCTGCCATGGAGGGTGGGTGGGAGGTGGGGTGGGGGGCAGAGCCTGGGGCCTCCTGGTTTGCTCTCACGAGCGTTGGAGGGGGGGGGGAAGAGGAGAGCGCGCGCTGCTGCTGCTGCTGCTGCTGCTGCTGCCGGCAAGCGAAAGTGACCGCGCCTCCCTTGGGGAAAAGTGAAAGGCCTCCTTAAAAGCAGCCCCCAGCGCGCGCGCATCGGGACTCCGGAATGCGGGTGGGGGTGGGGGTTGGGGAAAGAAGGGTCGCCGGCTGCCAAGCAAAGTGGGTGTGTTGCGGGTGGGTGGGTGGGTGGGTGGGAGGTGGAAAACCGGGGCTATCGCTGGCCATCCGCTCGGCTTAAAAGTCGGGTTTAGCCGGTTCCAAAAGTCACAAGCGCGGGCTTGGCCGGGGAGACGCGGCGCTGGGTGGCAGCTCCAAGCCGGAGAGGCGGATCTGGTTCTTTAAAGTGGGGGGGGGGAGCAAGAGGAGGGAAGGAGACGGGGAGGGGGAGGTCCCTCGCTTGCAACCGCCCCAAGGACCCCCAAGGGGGGGGGGGCTGGAAAGAAGCTCGGGAGCCCAAAGGGGGGGTCCCACCAGGAACTTCCCACCCCTCCCGGTCTTTCAGAGAGGGAGGGGAAAAAGCGGGAGGAGCAATTGCCCCTCCACCCCTTGGCTGGCCCCGCCCCGCTGTCCAGAAGGAGGGGCGCCAGAGTCGTCCCCGTCTCCCTCCCCCCCCTCTCTCTCTCCCCCCCAACCCCCACCCCACGCAGGGCCCATTCCGCGAGTAGGGCTGGCTGGGCGAAGCCCACCCCTCATTTGGCCCCCTCAAGCGCCCCGAGCCGGGCGGAGGGTGAGTTGGGGAGGTTGTGGGGAGGAGGAGGAGGAGGGGGGGAGGGGAAGGGGGGGTGCAATGATTCCGGCTCGGCTTTGAAGGGGCTTCGCAAGTTGCGGAGCTCCGCCCCCCGCTCTGCACCGAGTGACAACAACAGCAACGCGCGCCGCGGCCGGAGGGAGAGCCGGGCGGGCGGGCAAAGCGAGCGGGCGGGCGGGCGGACAGGCGGGCGGGCGGGCAGAGCGCGCGGGGCGCGGCGAGAGGGTGGACCGCGCCGTCAGCAGCAGCAGAAGCAGCCGGAGCCGCAGAGCGCGGAGCAGGTCCTGCCAGGCAGCAGAAGCAGCAGCAGAAGCAGCCGGTGCTGGGCTCAAGTTGGCGCGGACCTCGGCGGGGCAGCGCCCGGAGCGCCCCTCGCCTTAACCCGGCTCCTCTGATGTGACCATGGCGATGCCGGCGCCGCTCATCCCCGCCGCGCAGCCGGCGCCCCCAGCGCCGCCGCCCCCCGCGCCCCCGGCAGCCGCCCCCTCCCCGCCGCCCGCCCCGACCGCTCCGGCCGCCCCCGCCGCCGCCCCCACCACCGTCCCCGGCCTCTTCCGCCCGGAGCCCGGCTCGGCTGTTGCAGCTGCGGCCGCTGCGGCGGCTGTTGCTGCCGCTGCTGCGGCGGCGGCGGCGGCGGCATCGGCTTCTGGAGGTGCGGAGAACAGTTCGGGTCCCGGTCCGGCTCCGGTTCCCGTTCCGTGTCCGGGCGCGGCAGGCGGCGCCCCGCCGACGCCTTCGGGCAAACCGGTCTACTCGACGCCTTCGCCGGTGGAGAACACGCCGCAGAACAACGAGTGTAAGATGGTGGAGCTGCGCGGCGCCCAGGTGGCCTCGTTCTCGGTGGAGGGCTGCGAGCTGATCTGCCTGCCGCAGGCCTTCGACCTCTTCCTCAAGCACCTGGTGGGCGGCTTGCACACGGTCTACACCAAGCTCAAGCGCCTGGAGATCACGCCGGTGGTCTGCAACGTGGAGCAGGTGCGCATCCTGCGCGGCTTGGGGGCCATCCAGCCCGGCGTCAACCGATGCAAACTCATCTCCAGGAGGGACTTCGAGACGCTCTACAACGACTGTACCAACGCCAGGTGAGAGCCGCGGGCAAGAGAAGGGGGGAGGGGGTGTGAGAGAGGAGGGGGGGTTCCGAACGTGCGTGTGAGTGTGTGTCTATGGGTGCACGGGAATCCCGTGCACTCCCCTCCGAGGAGTGCCGCGGCGCAGCGCCTGCTCCCCCGCGAGCTGGAAAGTTGGGTAGAGTCGCCGGGCTCGGGTGGGGGTGGGGGGTCTTTGCGTTCCTCGGAAGGAGAGGCAGCACCCGAAACCCTTCGCTACAAGGATGAGAGAGGGAGAGAGAGAGGGAAGGACAGTGGTGGGGAGAGGGAAGGAAAGATGGAAAGAGAAAGGAAGGAAGAAAGAAAGAAAGAAAGAAAGAAAGAAAGAAAGAAAGAAAGAGATGACAGAGAAAGAAAGAAAGAAAGAAATAAAGAAAGAAGAAAAGAGAGAGAGAGAGAAAGAAAAAGAAAGAGAGAAGACAGAGAAAGAGAGGGAGAGAGAGAAATAAAGAAAGAAGAAAGAGAGAGAGAGAGAGAAAGAAAGAAAGAGAAAGAAAGAAGACAGAGAAAGAAAGAGAGAAAGAAATAAAGAAGAAAAGAGAGAGAGAGTAAGAAAAAGAAAGAAAGAAGACAGAGAAAGAGAGGGAGAGAGAGAGAGAGAGAGAGAGAGAAAGAAAGAAAGAAAGAAAGAAAGAAAGAGAGTCGGAGGTGGGTTGGGGTCTTTTGAAAAGTTCCGCGTCCAGTTCCGAGTTTTTTTAAAGTCTTTTTAAGTCTTTATCCTTGGCGCCGCGAGTCCCTTTAAAGTCTTTCCAGACCGCCCCCGCGTTTGCCTTCCCTTTTCACGTTTAGTAAGTGAAGAGAGAGAGAGAGAGAGAGAGAGAGAGAGAGAGAGAGAGAGAGCACTGTCTCTGGACCAAGGAGAAAGACAGGTGGACGGCTTCCTCCTTTCTCGGGCCGGGACGCGAGACCCCTGCCCGTCCGGCGATTGGGCTTCCCTCCCGGAGGATTCCCCGCCGCGGCTGAGCGGAGTCTCTCCGCGTCCCGTTACCCCGAAAGGGTCTGCACGCGAGGCAGCCAGTTCAAGAGTAACTTAGACAGAACCGGCGCCTTTTCAGACGAGACGAAGCGTCCCCGCTTGCAGCTTCGCCCTGCGGATGTCGAAGGACACGACCTACACCGATTTATTTATTTTTTTTTCAAACAATATTTTGAGCAAGTTTTGGGGAACCGGGGCATAACTCGGGAGTGGGATATGTATAAATCTCTTTGCTGCGTGTCGGCTGGGAGCGATGCCTGGCAAAGCCTCCAAGATCTTATAAAGCCTCCTTAAATCCTCACTGGGGTTTTCTCACACAAATCTTAGCCAAGGGGTAGGGTAGGGTAGGGTAGGGCACCAATGTAGGCTGGTGACCCCCAGGGGGAGAGCCTTCTCTGTGGGGGCACCTACCCTCTGCAATCAGTTACCCCCAGAGATAAGGAGAATCCAAGACCTCAGTGCCTTCCACCGTGCCCTTAAAACCCACTTTTTCCAGCAAGCCGGGCTGGCTTAAGAAGAAATTTTTAAAAGTTTTAAATTGGTTTGTGATTTTTAATTTTTGGGCCAAATTTATATATATTTTAATTGTTTTTTAATATTTGTATTTCATGTTCTTAATTCTGGCTCAGGGAGAAGGGCGGTATAAAAATTGGAAATAAAATAAAATAAATAAATAAATGGAACAAGGGGTAGTTTGGGAACAGCTGAGGGGGTCAAGAGGGGAACAGAGATAGCTTGCACTGGCTGGGATTGATTTAAGGAAAGACGGGTCAAAAGGACTGCCAGTCCAGATCTCTAATCTTTTACCCAGCCTCTGCCTAAAATGCATGCTAATTGGGTGTTTAAACCAGCCAGAGTTGTGTGAGAATTGTAATCTGTGTAAGGGTTGAGGAATATAATTCCTAACCCTCCTTTTGCACATTTAGAGACAGGCTGTAAAATATGAATGGGAGATTTTCCGTGGATTTGGCTTTTCAGCAAGACAGCCTTTGAGAGTTCACTGCTTTAATAAAGACAGATAATTGCTGGATATAAGTGTTTCTTTTCTCTCCTTATGAATTAGTTAAAGGGCTATATAACACCTAACAGTTGTCACATTTATATCACATTGATGTTACTTTGCTCCCAAAAGTTACACATATTTTATACTTTGTTTCGCTGTTAAGAGGATAAATGACAAAGTTGATTTTTAAACTGAGTTGTTGTAAGGGATGCTTAGTATAACTGGATTTAAAAGCAGCAATATATTCAGGTGTGGCATACAGCCAGGTAGAGATGCCTCTTCCTGGTTTATTTTCATTTAATGTATTTGAAATTGAGCAGCAATTTGAATTTCATCTGCAATTTGATATGTCTTCTCTTTCTTGACTAAGTAAAATTATAAGAGAAAAAGAAAAAAGGGATAAGAGCACAGTAGGCCTTTCAGATTTGCATGTCCATTTTTAATTAACTGAATTATTTAAGGCGAACAAAGGGTAAGAAGGCTCGTTTGCAAAGGCAGATGCGGGGTTGTTTTTATGCAATTATTATTTTTTTTTCAAAAAAAAATAAGTCTACGAGAGGACTCTTTTCCCCCTCATTACTTGATGGCTAAAAACTCTGGGGTTCAGGTGTCTTATGAAAACTTTTTGGAACAAACATATCTCGACAACCGTTTTTTTTTTGGGGTTCCAGAATAGGTAAATTAAGGAAAAAAGGACACTGCTCGGACAATAATTTGACAGTATATTCCCTTCCCAAGAGTTGTGGCTCTTGGGAAAGGGAACTCTTTGGTCATCTTCAAGCAGAGTAGGTGGGCATCCATCCATCGCTTAGGGAAGGCTGAAAGTATCACTTCTGCAATGAGGCTTCATAGTCTGGGGGGGTGGGGAGCTTCCATCCCTGTGCTTTTCTGCTCTTTTGCAGCTTTAGGGAGTGGGATCTAGCTTGTTTTCCCACCATCAAACTTTTCAGTAGAGTTTCCATGATTATTCCGATGTCCTTTGTATATGCAATGCACCAGCCGGAAGTGTGTTCAGTAAATGTGCAAAGAAGACAGAGAAGCTAACGGGAGGGGGAGGGGGTGCCTTGGTGGGCTGCATCCCGACTGAGGGGTCCTCTGGAAACCCACAACTTGGGGGGAATTGTAGCGCCTGACAAGGTTATCCGGTCTCTCTTTGAAAGCCTCCAGTGATGGAGCACCCATAACTTCTGAAGGCAAGCTGTTCCGTTGGTTCATTGTTCTCACCGTTCGAAAAAATTTTTCCCCCTTAGTCCTAGGTTGCTTCTCTCCTTGGTTGATTTCCAACCAAAGGAGGAACTTCTTTTTTCAGGAGGCAAACAAAATGTTTTAGAATTGGAACTGAAGTCTGTGGGTGGTGGGGAATTGAGATGGGAGAGGGGTTAATTAGTTCAAAACAAAAGAAGCCACGTTCCTGGGATTTACAGGAGGGCAGGACTGGGGCACCGGTTCTTCCTTTTCTTTCTTTCTTTCTTTCTTTCTTTCTTTCTTTCTTTCTTTCTTTCTTTCTTTCTTTCTTTCTTTCTTTCTTTCTTTCTTTCTTCCTTCCTTCCTTCCTTCCTTCCTTCCTTCCTTCCTTTCTTTTTTTCTTTCTTTCTTTCTTTCTTTCTTTTTTCCGGACAAACCTTGTGAGAAACTTTGGATGAGGTTTTTAACCAAACTGTTGCTGACGTTTTGCCCCCCCCCCCCCCCGATTTGAGGGTGTAGAATACAACCGCCCATTATTCATTTTGCTTCATTGATTCCTTTAAAAAAGCTTGGGGAATTTTAAGTCTTGCCTTTTTGGAAGGATTGGTGGTGAGACGGTGCTCAGTTGAAAGAGAATCTGTTTGGAAGGAGGGGACAGATAGCAGATACTCAGGCAGCCTTTTCTGCAATTGATAGCCCAAGAATATTCTAAGTAAAGCAAAACAATAACTGGGGAAAAAAAAAAACACGGTAAAGGTTGTAACCAGACAATTTCACTCCTGCGTAGGCTGCCATGATATTGTTAGAGTGTGTAGAACATTCAATTGATGTTCATGATTGATTGGGACCCTCTGAAAAATTGGACAGATCCTTGAAGTTTGATAGAAATGTAATCTGGGCATAAAAATGTGTGGGTTTGATTGGAAGCAGATCTCACAGTGGGTCTTCCCTCCGCTGAGTGTCCAAAAATGCAGGAGCCCCCTTATCTGTCAAAGGATAGCCCAGCACAGATTATTGATGTGTTTTTATGCTTGAATCTGTAAGGCAAATCGGTTTATCGAAAGCGGTTTCTCAGCAAACAGATTTTGAAGTAGAAAACTTTATCCCTCAAAAGAACCCCATCTTGCCAAAATACAGCAATATTTTTTTGGTAAAAAAATTTACCCTTTTTTTATCACTACCTGCAATTTCCAGTGACAAATCCCCCCCCCCCCATTTCTCTCTGCCCCCCCCCCCCCCCGGTCCAACATTCAGTTCAGAAACCTGCTTCTATTGGGGTTATTTCATTTCACTTAAAAAGATAGTTGTGAGCAGTAGATATTTGTGGCTGAATTAAAGGGCAATTCCACAGTAATAAATGCACTCTTTATTTATACCTTTTAGCAAGTTGACAACTAAACAACATTTTTTTTTTTGAGGGAAGGGAAGTGCTGTGACTGTGACCTAGTATAGTGAGACTAGCTATTTAGTGCATCGTAGTCCCCAGCTCAATTCGATGGTATTTCAAGAAAGATAATAATTTGTTGTGAATGATATCCTAATTTACTTTCCTGTTTTGACTCATTAGGCCTCCGTTGCTATCAAATACTTACAAAAAAAATGTTACCCTTTCAAAGAAAATTCCACTGTGCAGTTTATAATCCAAAGACTCCCTTGTTCTCCTTACCCATATAGCATATTTATTCTCATCTGCCATCATTGTCTAATTTGCTTCTGTTTGAACAAGGATGCGAGGCTTGTTTTAATAGGAAAGTCTTCACATGCATTTAAGAAGGGGGGAGCTCTGTCTTAGAAGCGGATTCTTCTGAAAAA